AACAATGCCATTCTTTCAAAAATGTTGTTACAGACTCATTATGATAGATAGATTTACTCGCTGGCCGGAAGCTAACCCTATCACAGACATCACGGCCGAAACAGTGGCTAAAGCTTTTTGGTCACAGTGGGTCGCAAATTTTGGAATACCCAAGGTAATAATAACAGACCAGGCCAACATATCACTAATCGTTCAAGGGTGCAATGATGTGTCACCCAAAAACTCCTTGGCCAGAGCTACTACTTGTCGTCTTGTTGGGACCTCAAACATGAATAAAATAGGATCTAAAAAATCCTAAATCCGTGAAAATGCTTCACAAAACAACGATACGCTTGCCAAATAAATTTTTTGGAGACATCGACACAGGTTAATGCCGTTTTTCTAGAGGACTTTTGTAACTTTTTTTTTTTTTCTACCTTTTTTTTATACCCTTGCAGAGGGTATTATAATTTTGGTCAAAAGTGTGCAACGCAGTGAAGGAGACATCTCCGACCCTATAAAGTATATATATTCTTGATCAGGATCACCTCCTGAGTTGATATGAGCATGTCCGTCTGTCCGTCTGTCTGTCCGTCTGTCTGTCCGTCTGTCTGTCCGTCTGTCTGTTTCTACGCGAACTAGTCTCTCAGTTTTATAGCTATCGTCTTGAAACTTTGCACACACCCTTCTTTCCTTTGCACGCAGTATATAAGTCGGAACGGCCCGGATCGGCCGACTATATCCTATAGCTGCCATATAACTGATTGATCGGAAATTGTATAACTTTGACGTTTTTAAAGTTACAGAGTTCAAATTTGACATGAGTGCTATTTTTGGCAAAACATTACGACATGCCAAATTTCGTAAGGATCGGCCGACTATATCCTATAGCTGTCATATAACTGAACGATCGGAAATGACCCAACTTTCGTGTTGTTAAAGATAGAAAGCTGGAACTTGGTACAGATTATATTCTTGGTCAGTTAATCCGATCTACCAAATTTCATAACGATCGGCCGACTATATCCTATAGCTGCCATATAACTGAACGATCGGAAATGGTTTTTGGTAGAAATACCACTTTTGGTGTTTTTGAAGATAGAAGCTTGAGACTTTTTTTAGATTTTGTATTGTAATAAATTGGATTATATATTCATATTTCCATAAGGATCGGCCAACTATATCCGATGTTTGCGATATATATCCGGTTTAAACTGCAAGGGTATATAAACTTCGGCTCCGCCCGAAGTTAGCTTTCCTTTCTTGTTTTTTTTTGAATCTTCTCTTTGCGAGACTAACAAGAGGTGTATCAAATCTTATTTTTTTAACTTAACTAACAGTCATATCGACTGATACAGAGTTAGACTGACCTAAAAATCAATTGCTGGTGTGGGAGGTTGTTGCGTCGCAGGCGGGATCCGCTAGAAACCCGAGTCAATCCCCGAGCGAGAAAATTTGGGTTCGAAGACAGTTTTTCTTTCGCAACAACAACAAGCTTTTACAGCTCTGAAGTCCCATATTATCAACGCGACTCAGCTAGCTCATTTAGATGAAAATCTACCACTAATCCTAACGACGGATGCAAATTCTTTTGGTATAGGTGTAGTCCTTTTACATATCCAACATGATGGCAAGGAGAGGCCTCTTGTTTTCGCATCCAAAACGCTTGACAAGCATCAGGTAAAAAACAGCCAAATCGAAAAAGAGGGACTTTCTATAATATTCGGAGTAAAACGTTTTCACCAATATTTGTAAGGCCGAAAGTTTACCTTACGAAAGATCACAAGCCACTTGTAACGATTTTCAATCCAGGCAAGCATCTACCTTTAATGACGTCAAACAGGCTACAGCTCTGGGCCATCATTCTCATGGCCTATATTTTTGAGATTGAGTATCGTTCTACATCTGCTCATGGCAACGAAGATGCGCTATCGCGCCTTCCCGTGGGCATGGATCCGGATTTCGACAGAGAAGAAGAAGCCTGCCACATTGAAATGGAACTGTCACCACCGATCAACTCTGAGATCATTCGCAACCACATCGAAAAGGACAAACTTCTCAAACAAGTCTTACGGTATGTTACTATAGGATGGCCAGAAAAACTTCAGCAAGACGAGTAAGCATTATCACCATACTTTAATCGAAAATTTGCCCTCACAACCAACAAAAAATTGCATTGCCTACACACAGATGTCAGTCGTGTAGTAATCCCAGTAACTTTTCAAGCGTGTATCCTGAATCTGTTACACGAAGGACATTGGGGCATTGTTCGAATGAGGCAGCTAGCGAGACAACATGTTTGGTGGCCTACAATCGACGCAGACATTAAAAGCCTTACTCAGTCATGCAGCATCTGCAAGTGCAACAATCCTGCTCCTCCAAAAGAGTACCAAAGTTGGCCTGCAGCTACAACAGCGTGGGAGCGAATCCATATCGACTTCGCCGGCCCAATATTCAATTCCATGTGGCTAATCTGTGTAGGCTTACTCGCAGTTCCCATTTGTAGTTCAAATGTCGTACGACCGCTAACACGATCGCTGCACTATAATCGATATTCGCCATCGAAGGATATCCAAAAACCATGGTCAGCGACAACGGTCCGCAGCTTACGGCTGACGCCTTTGAGGAATTCTGCAAACATTATGGAATAAAACACATTACCACAGCACCGTTCCATCCAGCATCCAATGGATTAGCAGAGTGTTTTGTTCAGACGTTTAAATTCTCTGTCAAGAAAAACCTCAAAGACGGTATACAAGTCCGAGCAGCAGTTACTAAATACCTTGCTTCCTACAGGTTCACTTCAAATTCCCACGGAAAATCTCCCGCCGAGTTAATCCATGGTCGTCCAGTCCGTACCGTACTAAGTCAACTTTTCGAGCAGCCTGTCGAAGCCAAGCAATCGGTTACCAACTACGTCCCAAATTAAATGGACTACGCTCGTAATTATGCAAGGGGAGAAAAGTGGATTGAAGGCTCTATTGACCGTCCAATTGGAAAAATGCTTTTCTTGGTTCGCACCACAAATGGTTATATCAAGCGCCATTTCAACCAGCTAAAACCGAAGTTCTCAGCAAGCAGCTCCATCGAAAAACCTCCAGAGCTCTTTTGGATCCCGGATATTCCGCCCTCTTCAAATCATCCACTACAACAACAAGATCAACCACTACAACAACAAGAAGATGAAGATGATGAACAAGATGAACCAGTAACTCCGTCAACCGTTCAGCAACGTCATTCTGAACCTGAGGCACCCGAGAGCTCCACATCATCGAACCAACACCCAAGGCAAAAACAACCAGCACGACTTTCATCCGGCACACAAGTTCGCCAAAGTAGTCGTGTTCGCCAAGAAGTAGATCGTTTTACCTAAAAACCTAAAACCTAAAAATCGTATTTGTTCTAAATTAAAGGAGGAGATGTGTTATATATTGTCAATCTCACATCTGTTCTTAACTCCTCCATTCTATACACTTATACACCAAAATAGTACTTAAAGAATCTGGTAACTCTGTAAGCTTCGCATACAATAAAGCAGTCTAAAATAGAATTCAACAAGAACACAACAGTATATAAATGCCAATGTCAGGTCAGGCACCAGCAAAGCGGTTTAATGTTAATGTTTAAATAATGTTAATGTAATGTTTAGTGTAATGTTTATTTATTTATGCTTAAGTTTGTCCAAAGCACTTAGTTGGTCGCAAGCTGACTCTCTCTCGGCCGCTCGACTTAAAGGGCCTTTCTTTAGGCCATTCTCCATTATCGAGAGCTTTAGCCTCGCGTATGACGAGTCGGGCCGCCCTCTCTGTACATTACTTGAGTCTCTGCAGGCACCCTTAGCTGGTCTATCTGCTGATCATCCGGCTTCATCTGCATGCAGGAATAAACATTTATAACGTTTTTAAAATTACATAAATTCGGCTTTTTATTTTGGTGCGGATTACGGCATTGAAAACCCTCAATGACCAAACAATAATATCAATTTTTTTCCATTTTTTGTAGGCTGCAAGGGTGTTGAGATTCCCTCTGTTTTATAGCCTAATATTTATTTATAATTTTATTACAAATATTTAATAATATTTATTACAAAGCACTATAGGGAAAATAGTGCATAATGCATCCCCATAGTGCGTTGTACTCTACCAGTTCCGGGTATACAAATTTCGGTGGAGAATAAAAAAAATCAATGAAAACTAGAAAGGAAAGCTAACTTCCGGCGGAGCCGAAGTTGATATACCCTTGCAGTTAAAACCGGATATATATCGCAAACATCGGATATAGTTGGCCGATCCTTATGATTACATCATAATAAAACAAATTAATTACAATAAAAAATCTAAAAACAAAGTCCCAAGCTTCTATCTTTAACAATACCAAAGTTGGTATTTTTACCAAAAACCATTTCCGATCGTTCAGTTATATGGCAGCTATAGGATATAGTCGGCCGATCCTAATAAAATTTGGTAGGTTGGATCAACTGACCAAAAATAAAATCTGTGCCAAGTTCCAGCTTTCTATCTTCAAAAACACGAAAGTTGGGTCATTTTCGATCGTTCAGTTATATGGCAGCTATAGGATATAGTCGGCCGATCCTTATGAAATTTGGCACGTCGTATTATTTTGCCAAAAATAGCTCTCATGTCAAATTGAACTCTCTAACTCTAAAAACACCGGCAGAGAGTTAGCAGAGAGAGTTATATGGCAGCTATAGGATATAGTCGGCCGATCCGGGCCGTTCCGACTTATATACTGCGTGCAAATGAAAGAAGGGTGTGTGCAAAGTTTCAAGACGATAGCGTTAAAACTGGGAGACTAGTTCGCGTAGAAACAGACACACAGACGGACAGACGGACATGCTCATATCAACTCAGGAGGTGATCCTGATCAAGAATATATATACTTTATAGGGTGGGAGATGTCTCCTTTACTGCGTTGCACACTTTTGACCAAAATTATAATACCCTCTGCAAGGGTATAAAAACTACAATAAAATAATTTTTTATTTAATCTCTTAATCTTACCTTTAAAAAGGCATTTGTTATGTTATTATTCCAAATTCGTATGCTTTGAATAGTTGGATCATCGGGCAGGATAATTTCATTTGGCGTTTGCAGTTTAGATATTATAAAACACAATGAGTATGCAGGTATAGGTAAAGTTGTGTTAAATGCATCCAATCGATAACCTTTAAGCATTGGACTAAAATAAATTACCATTAAAATGATTACAAAAATTATTGTTAGGCTATCAATAACTATTTATAGTAAAAACCAACCAAAAATATAGTATAGTATTTATAGTAACCAAAAAAAAATACCGTTAATGCATTAGCTTAATAAATTTCAGTTACATGCCAACGACTAAAGCTTTGAACGAGAATAGACGAGAAGGACGACAGAAGAGTGAGGAGCAATGAGGCAAAAGAAAATAAGAAACAAATAGTAAAGTCGAGTTTTCCGACAATATTACACGCAAATCTAAATTTTTGTTGTATATCCAGCAATTCGTCGATACCACAGGAGTCCAAGTTCCAAATCGAATAGTTATAGTTTGACATCAAAAGTTTTAAAAAAAAGACTTCCTGTACTGGCGCTGCAGAAATTAGCGACTTGAGAGAGCGAGAGTTGGCATGGCATTTTAAATAAACTTTAACTGCGTTGGTATTATAGGAGTCTCTATAGTTGTTAGATCGGCGTAGGTGACAACCCGGGGGCGGGGGAAAAGGCAACCTATGTGGGAGCCCTTTGTCGTAGTAGGACCATAAAAAGGTGACATGTGTTGCCGGTGCCTGGTGATCTGGCAATCGGTATAAAACTGTTATTGGAAGCTGGAAGCAAGATTTCGAAATCCGGGTGGAAATAGCATTTTCTTTGCATTTCTCGCGCTCAAGAAGGTTCAAGAAGGTTCGTCCAGTACAAGGCGGAGATTTCATGCGAAGAGTGCAGGTGACTGGTGACCACAGCGAGACCGAAGCGGCAACAGGTCGCGAGTCGCTGTGGCGGTGAGTGAAGCGTCGAACGGGGTTCCCAGCGGATTAGTCCACGGCATAAATGACCAACTTTGGTATTGTCGGGTCAGGCAGCAAGAACTGTTAGGTTTAAATAATTAATTAATAATATACGCATTGTCTGAATCTCAAGCTAGCGAGCCTCCGCACAACCTATTATCCAAGGTTGGCGCACTCTCTTTCGTTATCTCTTTGCGCTCGCACCCTGAATTGGCGTTTTATTGTATATTCCCAATTTTATATGCCGCCAACCAAAGATTACGTCACAAACCTAAATACATTTTGTCTTTTTATTTACAGTCATTGAAAAACATCAATGACCAAACAGGTATTTTTGAAGATAGAAGCTTGGGACTTTTTTTTTACATTTGGGGTTGTAATAAATTGGTTTTATTATCGATATTCTCATAAGGACCGATATTCTATGGGTTGGAAGGTCGTAGCGTCTCAGGCGAGATCCGCTAAAAACCCGAGTCAATCCCCAAGCGAGAAAATTTGGGTGGGAAGACAGTTTTTCTTTGTTGGACTCTTTTTGCTTCTGGATTTCGTCTTTCACTGCAAGAATGCTTTAATCCCGGTGGATGTTTTCGTTGCTCATATACCAAGATGCCCAAGTGATAGTTCTCAAGCTTTTTGATTGTGCATGCTGTATGATGTCTATGTTGCTGCTGCTCGTGTACCCCCCACGTCCAGATTGAACTTAGGACTGAATTGTAGGGTTGTACCTTGTAGTTCAGGCATAATGGCGATCTTAAGTTTATGTTTACACTTTTCTTCGTCTATTTTAATGCGCCAGTCGTACCTTTTCACAACTCTAAGATGGTTAGTGAGTTTGTTTGTTGCTTGGTTTCGGCATCTGAAGCGACTAAGGATAGCAGTATCGTCGGCGAACGTTGACGGGGAATATTGAGAATATCCGCAGTATAAAAAACATATCGACAAGGTCCGAGTGTGCTTCCTTGTGGAACTCCAGCTTCGATGATGTAGTCGCCTGAAGAAGCCGCGTAGCGTCCCTCTGAGAATACCCTATTGTAGAGGTACGTTTCAAGTAGCTCGTGGGTGTATGTTGGCAAATACGTTTTAATTTTGTGCATGAGTCCATTAAGCCAAGCTCGGTCAAAGCTTGAGATACTTCGAGAAAAATTACGCTACAGTATTCTTGATGGTTTCGATGGTTTCGATGGTTTCTTCGTAAGTCAAATTGGTGTGCCGGTATAATAATGCAAGCTTCCAGATATAGCACTATGCTAGTTAGCAAGAATTTCTAAAAAAATGTACACAAACAAGATAGAAGGCTTATTACTTTATACGATGTAGGAATTGTGTGGTCTTTTCCGAGCTTCGGTTTTTTTTTAGGGGGCATGGGTTTTTTTTCGGTGACTTGCGCTGGTCGGTTTTACTTAATCTCCGCCAGTAGGGGAAATCTGTTGCTTTTGAACAAGTGATTGCATGGTCGTTTTCATGAGTGACATAAGCATTATACTTTGTTGAAGGGTTCTGGGGCCTGTTGGGCGCCTTGTGAGTTATGCTTTATTGGATTTTCCATTCCAGATCATAGAGCATAGGAATAGGAAAAGCCTTTGGTGGTGTTTCGGACCTCGCAGCTTTAGCAGAAGACGTCATGCGTATCTTTTGACGCAATGTACACATTCTGTGGTTTTTGGTTGCACGTTGCGGTCGCTTGTCGCATGCGACTCTTCAAATCCTTGTACACATTACATCCTCTATAGTTTTCAGTATGGTTGCCTTTGAAGTTTCTTCACGGTACTGTCCTTTTATGTAGTGCAGTAAGCGGAGTTGCTGGCGTCCCCGCAGACTACACCGAAGCCCGACAGCCCGTAATATGCTGTATGACCTAGTTTGTTCATACTCTTGGCAATTAGTGCATTGCATTGGACCGTTGCGTTTATGTGGCTCTTCCACAGTGATTCTCCGATGCAAGAGTTATTGAAGCTTGTAAATTGGGTAGACTTCGTTCTTATTTAGGGACCTGCTTTCTGGCTCGAGCTTGACCTTGAAGAGCGGTTGTAGCTTTTTATCTTTATTTCGAATGTTAATAACATTATTGGCGGCGAAGCCCTTTTCTTTAAGGGCGGTTTTATTTCCGCGGCGGTAACATCGGGTGCGATCCCTATACTACCACTTGTAGGTCCTTACTGCTTTTTAGCTGGTACGTGTATTAGTTTTCTGAGCATTGTCCTGATGTTTGGACACGACTCAAAAGTGCTTTTCAGTCTTTGTATGCTCCTTTGTTTCATGGATGTTCCCTTTGATAAGGCGGACAACGTGAAAGTTTTTACCGTTCCCGATCAACGCCACAATTTGGTTGACCAAGGCATTCGAGCTTATCTCCTTGATATAGATTTGAGGGGGCTTGGGTTTTTTTTCGGTTACTTGCGCTGGTCGGTTTTACTTAATCTCCGCCAGTAGGGGGAATCTGTTGCTACTAGATTTGCCTGGTTCTTCGTCGATTTTCTGGACGTGGTTAATTTTTATTTATTGCCTGCCGAATTACTCTGCGGGCTAAGCTTACTATTACTTATTACTCTGATCCAGTCTGTGTGGCTGGGGCCGCTTTGGCACTTTCCGAAGTTGTTGTTTTTGTACTCGCTGAAGTCTTTGACGTTGCGGTATTTTGAATTGCAGCGGTTGTTGCTTTGGTTGCAGAAATTGTAGGAGGAGGGAGAAGGAGGGAGGGGGCTTAACACTGCAAACTCCATGACGGGGGAGTCGGAGTGAGCAGAGGGGGTGACCAAGATCGTGCCCTTTGGCTTTTAGCCGTCAGTAGAGCTGAGTTGCTCTTAATCGCCGATTTTTCCATTTCGGTTTCGCGGGTTGAAAAGGAAGAATAGATTTGGTTCGTTTCTTTGGTTCACTGAGCTTCTACGCTTGTTCTTTTGATTGTTTCGCAATGGGCTCATTGCATGGCACTTGTTTATTTAAAACAACTATGCACTACTTTTTGTGTTGGCACGTCACAACCGTAATATAAACCTTTTCTATTATTGTTTTGGTACTTTGATAGAAAATTTAAAATTTTGAGTTGACACTTACTGTTGAAGGGTTTCATTCAACATTGTATTAAAAACAGCAACATATTCCTCTGGTCTGGCGATTGATACCTTAAACGGAACCTATAATAATAATAAAAATGTTAAAAATAATTAATATTTACATATATAATTATTCCATATTAATAAACAAAAATGGATTTACAAAAAAAAAAAAATTATTTAAAAGAAAGGAAAGCTAACTTCGGACGGAAAGTTGAAGTTGATATACCCTTAAGATCGGATTAAATCGCAAACATCCTTATGAGAATATCATAATAAAACAGATTTATTACAAAAAGAAATATAATCAAGAAAGAAAAGCTAACTTCGGGCGGAGCCGAAGTTGATATACCCTTGCAGTTAAAACCGGATATATATCGCAAACAACATAATATAACCGAATTTATTTTAATAAAAAATCTAAAAAAGTCCAAAACTTCTATCTTCAAAAATACGAAAATTGGTATTTCTACCAAAAACATGGCAGCTATAAGATATAGTCAGCCGATCGTTATGAAATTTGGTAGGTCGGATTAACTGAACAAAAATATAATCTGTACCAAATTCCATATTTCTATCTTCAAAAACACAAAAGTTGGGTCATTTCCGATCGTTCAGTTATATGGCAGCTATAAGATATTGTCGGCCGATCCTTATGAAATTCGTATCGTATTAATTTGCCAAAAATAGCTCTCGTGTTAAATTTGAACTCTCTAACTCTGAAAACACAAAAGTTATACGACTTCCGATCAATCAGTTATATGGCAGCTATAGGATATAGTCAGCCGATCCGGGCCGTTCCGACTTATATACTGCGTGCAAAGGAAAAAAGTGTGTGCAAAGTTTCAAGACGATAGCTTTAAAACTAAGTGTTCAAGCATTGAACACTATTTTGTATAGAAATTCTTAAGTTAGAGTTTCAAGGGATCGGACCCATGAAATATGAGTCAAACAGATGGTTCAAAACCGATCCCCTGCAGCCTAACACAAACACATACATAAGTGGTGCGCTTATCGCACTTGAGAAAGGGTCGCATAGCAGGTCAGCGTGCAGTGCGTTGACAAGTAGTTTTACATAGATTTAAGAATTTCATGTATCGTACTTATAAGAGAACTTTGACGAATAAAATCAGTTTCCATAAGGAGCTCATTGGAGTAAGACCTATTTATTTAGGGCTCCTCTTAACATTTGGTCCATCGAGGCACCCTGACGTTTTCCCCCCTGTGGTAAGAGACTCAGGTTTAAAACTGGCACCTATAAGTGGCTGTAGAAAAATAAAAATTCTCAGCCCAAGGTAGCTAAAAAATAAGGCTGCGATCTGGGTAAAAAAGAGCCCAGTTTAAAAACCGTAGTCCTCTGTTGTTTCCCCCCAAGAGGTAAGGAACACAGCGAATAAAATTATTTAAGTGCCAATGAGCATAAAACTGTGTGTTTTTATTTCGGAACAATACCGAAATAAAAAATTATATGCAAATATATGAAAAATTATTTGTGTATTAGACTGTCCGAGGCTTTACATCGGAAAAGTAAAAAAAATTACGTTTTTTCGGCACAACACCGGAAATTTATAAATATTGAAAATAATGTACTGCGTGTTCGAGGTCAAATATCGATCAAAAATAAAAAGTCGGGTTCCTGGGAACAACGACAGCCAAAGTCTTTGGCATTTTATGCGGCGGGACCAACGTCTGCGGCAGGACCACCGGCGAGTAGAAGAACATCAGCGGCAGAAAAAACAACGAGCTACACCATCAGCAGCATCAAGGGCGAATCCTTTTACATCATTTGCAGGAGGAACACGCATCAAAAAAGAAAATTTTAAAAACTGTATGGTATGGTAAAAAAAAAATTACAATTTAAAAAATAATGATTATAAAAAAAAATTGACAAAAAAGGTAATAATTATCAATTAAATTTCAAAAAAAAAATTAAAATTTTAAAAGAAATTAGCCCTCAGTAAAACAAAAATTTTAAAATTACAGTCCACTAAAAAATCGAAGCAAAAATAAATTTTTCAAAGTTAATCTAAATGAAAAAAAAATATATATACATACTAAGGCACTTTTTTGGCCCCTTGGATGTTGTTCAAACATTAGGTTGAACATAACAAATAAAAGATTAAATAATTTTAAATATTCTTAAATAATTCTTTCACAAATTATTAAAAGAAAAAAAATGTATTAAAAAAATACAAGAAAAAAAATAGACATTTATACAGTCCACTAAAAATTATAATCGAAGAAAAGGTTAAATTAACATCAAATTTATTCAAAAAATATTAATCCAAAACACATAAAATTTACGCCTCTTTTTGTGGCCCTTTCCAGAATGTTCAAGCATTGAACACTATTTTGTATAGAAATTCTTAAGTTAGAGTTTCAAGGGATCGGACCCATGAAATATGAGTCAAACAGATGGTTCAAAACCGATCCCCTGCAGCCTAACACAAACACATACATAAGTGGTGCGCTTATCGCACTTGAGAAAGGGTCGCATAGCAGGTCAGCGTGCAGTGCGTTGACAAATAGTTTTACATAGATTTATGAATTTCATGTATCGTACTTAAAAGAGAACTTTGACGAATAAAATCAGTTTCCATAAGGAGCTCATTGGAGTAAGACCTATTTATTTGGGGCTCCTCTTAACACTAAGAGACTAGTTCGCGTAGAAACAGACAGACGGACATGCTTATATCATCTCAGGAGGTGATCCTGATCAAGAATATATATACTTTATAGGGTCGTAGATGTCTTCTTCACTGCGTTGCACACTTTTGACCAAAATTATAATACCCTCTGCAAGGGTATAAAAATAGTCCCAAGTTTCTATCTTTAAAAATACCAAAGTCTGTACTTTACCAAATACCAAATACCATTTCCGATCGTACAGTTATATGGGAGCTACAGCATATAGTCGGCCGATCAAAAATTATCCAATTTGGTAGGTCAGATCAAATGACGAAAAATATAACCGTTATGCCATTTGGTAGGTCGGATCAAACGACCAAAAATGTAATCTGTACGATGTTCCGACTTTCGATAAACCGTTCAGTTATATGGGACCTTTAATATATAGTCGGCCCGATTGCTCAGCTATATGGGAGCTATAGGATGTAGTCGGCCGATCCTTATGAAATTTGGTGTGTCGTATTATTGTGCCAAAAATAGCAATCGGGCCGTTCCGACTTATTTACTGCGTGCAAAGGAAAGTGGGCAAAGTTTGCAGTCGATAGCTTTTAAACTGAGAGACTAGTTTGCGTACAAACAGACAGACAGACTGACAGACAGACGAACGAACGGACGACGAACCCTGGGCTGACGGACAGCTGAATACTGGCACCTGAGTACGCGGAGTGAACTTCCGCTGAAATGGCTGCCAGGCTTATGCAGCTTCTGCCCCCGTCCCGCTAAAATTTGGCAAGTCTCCAGAAAACGCTTCTTAGATGTCGCCACTAAGCTGGCCGTGCAGGCTCAGATGAACCATACCTGACCGACGCGAATCTGGCTCTGAACTCTACACCTCGTAAGGGCTAGGATCAACCATAGAATAGACCTCACTGCACGCAAAGGTAACCATGGGATCAAGGACGCGACTGCACAAACCTAAGGACAACGGCTCAGGAGTTGGGACCCAATAATATGAGCAACTTTACAACAAAATTCAGTTGGAGAGTCGGCTTTCGTGAAAAGCTGCAAATTAACAAGCTCTGGATGCAGCAGCAAGCTGGATGATACCCCTCCTATTTCAGAGATCCGCGTGGAGCAGAACAGGAGCAAAACTCAGAAGTCAGGAAACTTAACAATACTGCAGGACCTCGGGAAGGGGATCGCGCAGCTAGTGGAGTTGCTGGAGGATGGAAAAAGGAGGTCCATCCACCAGCCAATGAGGGACGCCATAGAGAGCATCCGAGCTCTCTTCGAGCGACTGGCCGCACAGAAAGACGAACAGGGACACAAGGAAGCGCCTAAATCCCACCAGGCGTCACAAACATCGCTTCTATTTCGGTAGCGGAACCCAGAAGGAAGGGAACACTGGTCATCATGGCTAATGGTCGATGGGCGAATCAAGGTACGCCGATATCCTGCGACGGGTGAAGCAGGACAAGAAGCTGCAAGGACTAGGCGAACCAGTATCGGGGATTAGGACGACCCAGAAAAGAGAGCTACTGCTCCAGCTGAAGAAGTCAGGGGAGAAAACAGGAGCATTCAAAGCTCTGGTCTCGGAATCGGTAGGTGATCAAGTAGAAGTACACTCCTTGTCGCACAAGATCGAGATCTAGTGTAGGAATCTGGACGAGATCACCACAAAGAAAAAGGTTTCTGAAGCCATGGGAAAGCTTGTGGAATCCCTAGGGGTGCCAGTAACCGATATTATTTTAAGGAAGGGTTTAGGCCAGACGCAGACAGCCATAATTAGACTGCCTGCAGGCTGTCTCGGAAGGCACTGAAAATAGACTGGCTAAAGGTAGGCTAGGTGCGGTGCAGACCCAGGGAAAGGACCAGAGTCACTAAGTGCTTCAGATGCCTCGATTTGGACAGATGGCGAAACAATGCCAGAGCACCATCGAACGCTCGCGAATGTGCAGGTGATGTGGCAAGGACGGCCATATGGCAAAAGACTACGCGGAAGAACCAAAGTTTGCGTTCTGCAGCAACGCCGGGAAGGAAGCCTGACACATAGCAGGAAGTGGAAAATGTCCGATGTTCAGGAGCGCCCTCTCACAAAGGAAAAACTAATGAATGAATAACTAATGAACTAATGACGGTACAGTCGCTGCTTAGACAGGCGCTCAGAGTCGAGCAGACACAGGTAGCCCTAATCTCGGAACCATATAGCATCACAGGAAACGGATGGCTGGCAAGTATCTGCAAGGGAGCGGCTCTGTGGTCAACGGAGAGGGCCTTAAAACTGGCTATAAAAGCCGGCAAACGCGATTGGGGTACAGCATACAAGGTCGTCATGAGAAGGATTAAAGACCAAGAACACCTTAGAACACCGTGGAAGCTCCGTTCCCGAAGCACCCGCCAAAAAGGGAGACTATAGCAGCCGACGATGGGGAGACGTTTACGCCAGTTACTGA